CTTCCCCAGTCACATTTTGAATGCCTTCCAACCTGAGGGGCTCATTTTCTGGCACTATATCTGACAGTGTTTCTTTGCTATTCATAAGGTTTTCAGTGATTGTATATTTAGAAGTAGTTCCTCACTCTTTCTTCCTAGTCTGTCTTCGTCTGGAAGCTCATCTGAAATCTGTCCATCATGGGTGACACTGTTGGTTATTTAAAATACCGGTGGCATAGCTTTCAAAATCACAGCAATTCATAAGCCTCCATAGTACGACAAACTGACAAATGACTGGTGGCTATTTGGTTTTAAGTGGAAACTATCACTTTAAAATTAGAAGAGATCTGTGTGCATGCGTAGTAGAATCTTCCAGGGGTGGGAGTTGGGTGTCCATTTGCTCAAGCATCCCTGCTAGTCACCAGAAAGGAGGTACACAGACACACAGACAGCGAGAGACCAAGGAACAGATACCAAAAAAAAAAGAATGTTCACACCTGTATCTCTGTGGTTCTGTCAGGCATTCATGACTGTTCTGATCCTTCCCCTACTTGGTCTCTCCCAAGATGGCAGCTCCGGGAGCAGCTGAGCATCTTGAATTAGAAAGCACTGGATTTCTTGATTCTGCTACAAATTCCCCTAGCTGTAAGCCTTCCAAGCTTCTAAATATTCCTTTATATGTGGTTCAGAGTTCTAGGGCCATTCCCTGAGCCTGCTTGGTCCGGTATTCTGTGTTGTTGCTGATGGAGCTCTTCACTGCATGTCTACCTGATCCACCATCATCTGCTCCAGGCCACAATGAATTGAAAATGGTAATAATTCTTAGAATTACAAAGAACTATAATACACAGTCCTGTTACCATGAATCCTCAGGAGCCTTCTAAACCTGTCAATTTCCACAGAGTTGAGGTCATCTTCTCAATTAGAAAACAGAACTCTTTTTTGCATATCAACCTTCATTTGGTCAAAGAATGTTTCAGAAACACTTACCTCAGTCATAGTTCCAATGTCAGCAGACGGGCTGCATGTGCTGGTGTCTGGAGGAGCTGTGCCTACACTGCTTCTAACAGGAGAGCTCGGGGCAGCCCCCACGGTGGGCTCTGGATAGGCTGAACATGGACTGAGATTGCCTCTCTTCTGAATCTTATTCCAGACCTTATTCATGGTATCAGTTAGTGTGTATAAGAGCTGGACCTGAGCAGAAAGAAATTCAATGAAATGCTATTAAATAAATATTAAGAGAAAATTAAAACAAGTCCAGGAAACAATCCATCATGCAACATTGATCATCATATTATATGACTACTAATACAGAGAAAAGTATTTATATCTCTTCAAATTTTAGAAATTTTAAGACTGATATTTTAAATATGCATAAAGAATTTACTCACACCTTGAAATGTGTCACATATATTGTAATATTTTATGCTATCTGATATATTTTATGAAAAAATTATGCTAAGATAAACAAAGCTTATTGTGGGACAGTAGATTTACTTTACTTGAATATATGAATAACAAAACAAACACAAAGAAGCACATTATAAACACAGGATAAGACCAAAACTACATTTCAAATACATCAAGGTTAATGTTGTGCAGTAAAATAGAAAATAACTGCTATTTTTATATGAATGATTTCCATACCTAAATTATCTTTTCTGATATATAAATCTGAGATTGGATTTCTTACACAACAAAGTAAATTCAAAAGAATTATATAGAATAGTAAAAGAAAAATGTTACATATGAGACTTTTCTATAGATAAAGAATATAAACTACCCAACTTTTATTCCCCGAGGATATGTCATTCCAATATTCCAAAAGGGGAAAAAAAAACTGTTTAACTTGCAGATTGTTTGACTAAGTTCTAAGATATTTACATAAGATTTCATAAATAAGCATTAATCATGGAATTTGTATGACAACATATTGCCATATACTGTATAAAACAAGCCCAGGGAAAAAAATGCAAACACAATTTATAAGCAAATCGACAGCTGGACACCATATTCTACTTGCCATTAAAAAAAAAGAAATTCTCATATTTATAAAAAGTTTCAGCCCCAGGACATATCCAGATGATGAAGCTGGCTTCTTATGTGGGCAGAACAGATGCAAAGAAACACTGTTGTCAATCCTTATTTGATATAAAACAGTACTTGGGTGTACAGTTTTCTCTTGCCTTTTGTGTGATGAAGCCTCAATCTCAAGTTATACCTCTTTTGTGAAAAAAAAAAATAATATATATATATATATAATGCAATATTTGGAAGTCTTACAAGGAGCTTCTTAGAAAATTTGAATTTAAATTATTTTGTCCTTTATTATATTTCTCTTTAAAAAGAAACAATTTTGTCTCTTGCAAAGTAATTTTTTTTAATTATTTTGCTGTTTCTTAAATAATTAGATATTAAGTGAAGAAACTATAAATCAAATAAAGCAGGTTCTAAAAGCTTAAAATGACATTAGATTTACTTAAAAGAAACAGTACAACTTTTAATGTCAAAATTTCTGATTTCCTTTAACTGTTACCATTATATGATTCTATGAATATAAGCAAATACCTCCACGTACATATTTAAAGTATCAAGCAAATATTGGAAAAAACTGCAAGGTCATCAGTTCAAATCTTACAGTTGCTCTGTAGGAAAAAGATGAGGCTTTCTGCTCCCGTAAAGATGCATTTATAAGGGCACTTCCTATGTAAGTGGGTTATTTGTTGGACTGCTAACTGCAAGGTTGGAAGTTCACACCCATCAGTCATGTAGCTGGATAAAGATGGGATTATCTGTTACCACACAGACTGTGACAGTTTCAGAAACCTTAAGGAGCAGTTTTAATCTGGTGTGGGTGGCACTGTTGGTTAATGTGGTGGACTGCAAAGTCGGTTTGAAGCACAAAGCCAGAGGTTCAAGCTTACCAGTCATTCCTCAGAAATCCTACACAGGGTCGCTATGGGTCAGAATCAACTCTATGGCACTTAACAATAACACAATAAGACCATATGAGTCAGTATTTGCTTGAAGTCAATGGCAGAGGGTTTAGTTTTTGCATTTTGTAAATGCATGGATAGTTTTTAAGTATTAAGGACCATGACACTCTTATTGCTTTCAAGGAAACTCAGAAAATAAAAAGGGAAATAAAGATATTTTTCACAATGCATGATGAAGCACTTTATATGGCAAATAATGCCTTAAGTTTAAAGGCAAACTGCTGTATGCTACAAACAAGGAACAGTCCTGGTGTGGTGCTGTGGAGTTAATGCGATAGACTGCAAGGTCGGTTTGAATCACCAGGTTCCTTGGACACCCTATACAGAGTCGCTATGAGTCAAAACTAACTCGACCGTACTTAACAACAACAAACATACAAGGTATGTATTTACGCTATTGTCAGGTGTTGCCCAGTCGGTTCTGACTCATAGTGACCAAATGCACAACAGAATAAAACACTACATGGTTCTGAGTTAGCCTCACAATTGTTTTTCTGTTTGAGACCATTGTTGTTGTCACTGTATCTATCCATATCGATGAGAATCTTCTCCATTTTCACAGATCCTCCACTTTACCAAGCATGATGTCCTTCTCTAGGGACTGGCCCCACCTGAAAACACGTTCATAAAATGAAAGACAAATTCTCGCCATTTTGGCTTTTAAGGAGCAGTCTACTGTTCTTCTTCCAACACAGATTTGTTTGTTCTTTGAATAGTTCATGCATGGTACTTTCAATATTCTCTGTAAACACATAATTCAAATGCATAGGTTCTTCTACATTCATCCTTATTCACTGCCCAACTTTCACATGCATGTGAGGTGACTGAAAATACCATGGCTTGACTTATACAGTGTAAGAAAAGTTCTTACAAACTTCTATAAGATACAAAATTGATAACATGTTTTCAATTGGCTAAATGAACTCACAAAAGTGCAAATTCACTAACCAACGCAAATTCAGAAAATGTCCAACTCTATGGTGTCATTTCCATCAGCAAAAATTAATTCCTTTATTGTTTATTGCAGTTCAGTTCTGTTGATGATAGGCTCTTTAATTTTTTTTTTTTAATCTAAAAATGTCTTTATTTAATCCTCATTCTTCAGTTATTAATGCTTTATACAGAATTCTGCTTTGGCAGGTTTCAGTTGTTTGTTTTAATTTTGCCAATTTAAAGATGTTCTTCTGATTTCCCTAGTGTCCTAAGAGATGGAAATTGTTCATCAGATCTTTATTCCTCTGTATATGATTGTCACTTTTTGATGTTTTTAGCTTGGTACTTTGAAGATGTCCTCTTTATCTGTGGTGTGTAATAGTTACACCATGACGGCTGTATGTGTTCTGTGTGTGCTTGACTTATTCATCTTTGTTACTCTAGTACCTGGTTTATGTGTAGAAAATTCATTTAGGAAACAAAAGTGTCATCTTGTAGAATTTTTACAGAATCCAAGACCTTGAAATAATAGGCTAACGCAGTCACTCACAACAGGTGTTTACTTGTAGTCTGCACTTCTTCCAACACAGATCTGTTTGTTCTTTTGGCAATCCATGGCACTTTCAATATTCTCATCCAGCACCATAACTCAAAAGCATCAATTCTTCTATGGTCTTCCTTGTTCGCTGTCCAGCTTTCACATGCATATGTGGTTACTGAAAACACCATGGCTTGGGTCAGGCACACCTTAGTCCTCAAGGTGACATCTTTGCTCCTCAACACTTAAAAAGGTTTTGTGCAGCAGATTTGCCTAATGCAATACATCATTTGATTTTGTGACTGCTGCTTCCATGAGTGTTGATAATTGATCCAAGAAGAATGAAGTCCTTGACAACTTCAATCTCTGACAACTTTAATCAATATTGATCAACATAGCTTTATAAATATTGACCTATGAAATCCAAGAATATTCTAAAAAGAATTTTTAAAAAAATAAGTTGAAACAGTATTTAAAATAAAATATCTATAAGTAAAGTCTACCTGGAGTTTATTTAAAACAAAGGAACAAGTCACTAAATTGTACCCAATTAATAGCATGCAAACAGCTTTCAATCCATGTTAAGATATAAAACTGCAGCACACAACAGGCTTACCCTACGGTTGAAAATCTTTTAAGAAACGATTTTTTAAATATAATAAGTGTTGTCATTCCTTTTAATACTGCATGTTGAGCAAAAGAGGTTCCGAATAAGAATATGACTGAAAACCACATCTGATCACTTCAAGAGACTCTTCCAGTCTGGCAATACACTACTTCTTCAATGTTTAAAGACTACATCTGTAACTGATTTCATTCCATCAGACAAAAGTTGCATTTATTCTGTCACCATGTATATTTGCAGAAGAGTATAAGTTATAAAAGTTGGGAGAACTTCAAAGAAATTCTTAATTTAATCACCTTGATCTTGGATAGTCCCATTTAAAAAATTTAGGACACTTAATAGAAGAGAATCCCTTCAGTAAAATGGAAAACAATACTTTTTCAATCACATTATTTTAATTTAGCTATATATATCAAGTGTACTAACCTGGGGGTTTGAGCATTTTATCTCAAGTGACTCTAGGTCAACATGCAGACAAACAACAAACGAATGTCTTGTATCAGGTCCTGTAGCAAGTAGTTTCTGAGATGTGACAGCCAGAGTAGATGTACAACCCATAGGTTCCACTAGGCAAAGTGTTATTTGTTTTCCAAGAAGGGTATATATGCTGAAATGATGTAAGTTGATGGTCCAAGGAAAAGCATCACCTGATGATAGGACAGAAAAGGAGTAAAGAAATACACATGAAAGTAGTTCTTTGTTACTGGATTGTAAATTACCTACTGTTTATATTTAGAATGTAAAACATGTAATAATGCATCACAAAAAGCAAATAAAGTATCCTAAAGACCAAAAAAAAATTACAAGTATTTAAATTTAAATGTACTCTAGCCTTTAAAAATGTTTGCATTTGTATTTATTATAACATATGACTACATCAATACAATACGTATGTTATAAACAAATACTTACTGATGAAAATCAAAGACCACAGCCTTCAGTGAGGATTTCGACTCAACATAAAGAAAACTAAAATCCTTACCACTGGGCCAATAAACAACATCATGATAAATGATGAAAAGATTGAAGTTGCCAAAGGCTTCATTTTGATTGGATCCACTATCAACACTTATGGAAACAGCAGTCAAGAAATGAAACGATGTATTGCATTAGGCAAATCTGCTGCACAAGATCTCTTTAAAGTGTTCAAGAGCAAAGATGTCAAGTTTGAGGACTTAAGGAACACCTGATCCAAATCATTGTTCCGCAGGAGAAAGGTGAAGCTTTCTGCTCTTGTAAAGATAGTTCCGAACTGCTGACCTTGAGATTAGCAGCCCAACTCTAACCACAATGCCACCAGAGCGCCTACTTCAGGCCTACTTAACTACTATTATCATTAAGTTGCTTCAGACCTACTTAATCAGGATTCTTGGTAGTAATAACTAGGAGGTGTGTCACTACATTCTCTGGATAATTCTTACGTGTTAACAAGTGTTTTTTGAAAAACATTTAAAATAAAAATTATCATTCATAAATTTCAGAATTCAAAGTAAAATTACTTTCTTTTATGCCTTTTGTTCTTTGGTCAATTTCTATGAGATGAATTCATTAAATCACCTTTGTTTTTTATTATAGTTATAGATCATATTCTCTTCTTAAACATATATAAATATTTGCTATCTTGATGCAACTTAGAAGGAAAATATTTTTCCATAACTTGCATTTAAAAATTTGACTGTGGTAAAATACATTGAACAAAACTTTACTATCTTTAACATCACTTGCTTTATTAACTTGGCAATTCTACTAGTACTTCTCAGTATAGCCAGTATGGTAAGAGATGTCTTTCAAAAATCAATTATTTTAAAACAAAGTAGAACACTTCTTTTCTAATAGAACAGTAACAGCTGTCTCACAGCGAATAATTTGTAAAACACAACATATAAAGAATTAATTCAAAACCAGTCATAATCTTACTTCCACCCTGCCTTTCTTGATAACCTGTATTAACATTTTGTGCATTGTCTTCAAGTTTTTCCCTCCCCAGTCATGGGTGGTATACACATCCACATGTATTAGAATCATAATTCCACTGTACTGTATTTATTTATCTTATTCATAGAAGACAAGAATACCAAGTAAATAAGCGAGTTGCTGTTGGCCACAGTATAGGGTTTTCAACAAGTGGCTGATGAGTTTGAACCGCTGATGTTGGGGTTCAAACTTACCTTGCGGTCCAGTGCTTATCCTATGACCACCACACCAAGACTTAATGTTATTTACCAAATAAACAAGTTGCTGTTGTTAATTGCCATTGAGTAGGTTGGACTCATAGCAACCCTTTATAGGGTTTCCGAGGAACGGCTGGTGAGACTGAACCACTGATCTTGCAGTTCAAACCAACCTTATAGTTGAGTGCATATCCTACAGTGCTGCACCAGGACTCCAATAAGCAAGCAGATGTCCTAAGTATGCATTTGGATTCTAAAGAGTGATGCTCAGTGTTTGCCACAAGGTAGATTCTCATTAAATTTCAACATGCCAAATGTCTTGACCAAAAATAGTTGTTGTTAGGTGCCAACGAGTCGGTGCCATCCATAGAGACCTTATGCACAGCAGAACGAAACACTGCCCGGTCCTGGGCCAACCTCACTACAGCTGCCACGCTTGAGTCCATCGATGCTGCCACCTGGCCAATCCATCTCGCTTGGGGTCTTCCTCTTTTTCTCTGACTCTCCACCTTACCAAACATGATATCCTTCTCTAGTGACTGCTCCCTCCTGACAATATGTCAGAAGTATGAGAGACGAAGTTTGGCCATCTTGGCCTCCAAGGAGCACTCTGGCAGCACTTCTTCCAACACAGATCTGTTTGTCCTTTTGGCAGCCCATAGTACTTTCGATATTCTCCTCCAACACCATAACTCAAAAGCATCAATGCTTCTACGGTCTTCCTTATTTACTATCCAACTTTCACATGCATATAAAGCCATTGAAAATACCATGGCTTGGGTCAGGTTCACTTTAGTCCTCAAGCTGACATCTTTGCTCTTCAACACTTTAAAAAGGTCTTGTGCAGCAGATTTGCATAGTGCAATACATCGTTTAATTTCTTGATTGCTGCTTCCGTGAGTGTTGATAGCTGATCCAAGAAGAATGAAGTCCTTGACAACTTCAACCTTTCTCCATTGATAAGAATGTTGTTTTTTGGTCCAGTGGTGAGGATTTTTGTTTTCTTTACATTGAGATGTAATCCATACCAAAGGCTGTGCTCTTTGATCTTCATCAGTAAATGTTTTAAGTCCTCTTCACTTTCAGCAAGCAAGGTTGTATCATCTGCATATCGCAGGTTGTTAATGAGTCTTCCACCAATCCTGATACCACGTTTTTCTTCATATAACCCAGCTTCTCAGATTATTTGCTCAGCATACAGGTAGAATAAGTATGGCGAAAGAATACACCCTTGTCGCACACCTTTTTAAATTTTAAACCATTCAGTGTTCCCATGTTCTGTGTCAACCAAAAACAGTAAATACATTTAAAACTTAGAAACTCTGAAACTTGAAGAATATACTACTTCTAGCAGCACCATACTCCACAGCTTGAGTGGAAACAATGATAACTGCATAGTAATATGTGGTCAGTATTGTGGTGCTCTCTCTTAAGACTTAAAATATTTTGCCCCCAAGAAAGAATGACAAACTTTAAATCATCTGTAACTAATTCCAAAATTATTTTTAAACCTACACAAAGTTTCATGCTATTTACAAAATAAGGGCTCTGCCAAATTTGTCTTAAATTATTTTGGTATGATTTCAGGTTGCATATTTTTAAATGGTTACTGAGCTATATATATATATTTTTGAAACTCTATTTCATCCAAGAAATGCTAAATGATGGTTATGCAGGATGGAAAATGCTACATTTAAATTTACTAAACAACAACAAAAATTCCCAAATGACATTGTTACTCAGATATTTGTTTCTTTAGCATGAGACGAGTAAATTGAAATTTCAAATATCATACTCTAAGTCATAGGAAGAATATTTCATAGTAATATTTTATGTCCACTTATTTAGCATGCAGATTGTTTTAAAATTTACACTCAGCCTGAAAGATGAATGTTGAGATCCAATGACAAAAATTCCCAGAATGACTCACCATGAAAAATGAAAAAATCACAAAATACAACAAATCTTTAATTGCACAAGTTCTTCTTTTACAAAAAAAAAGAAAATACTTTATGTATATAACACAGCAAAACGGTACTCCCTAAGCCATACTCCAACATCCCTGACAAGTCAGAGCGAAGTACTACTCCATGTAATTTTCTACCAATCTGGGCTGACCTTCAAGATGAAATTTTTCATTTTCATTGGAAAAGTACAAATACTAAAATCCAGGTCTTTATTTTGGAGAAAAGTGTTTATTTTTGCCAGATTTCAGAAATGTTCAGACAAAATGTCTATAAAACAAGAAAAAAAATAAAGCAGGTAAACTGAGAATTCCATCTGGGTGTGAACTATGATCCTTCCATATTATTACCAAAGGAAAGAATGAATATTATTCTCAAGAAAATGATGGCCAAACACTGTAATTCAAGCCAAATAATTTGAAAGAGAGAATGAATATGACAGAATGCTCCAGAATAGGAAAAATAAAATAACATAAAAAGCTGTAACAATCAATGAGACAATATTTCCTACGTGTCAAAGCCAGTGAGAAGAGACTGGTGGCAGCCGTAACCTGTACTGCACCATCCAACAGAGAAAACTTCAGAACCACTACTAGGGATATACTTACAATGGATCATATGTTGTTGATTTTGCACAGTACTAGAATCAGAAAATAAAGTACTGGCTTATGAAACATGACAAAATATTCTAGTAATGTATATATTGAAAAGGTTATCAATTTTGTGTTTACCCAAATTTACACTCAAATAACACTTTTTCTACATTTGTTTGCCAACTATTCCTTTCCCTGGGGATGCACTTTTGTAAATGCTATGGGACTAGTGTGGCGCTGTGGGTTAATGCACCAGACTGCAAAGCTCTTTGAACTGCAAGATGGGTGGTTAAAGCTCACCAGCCACTCCTCAGAAACCCTATCCAGGGTCGCTATGGATTGGGTTGAAACCGACTCGATAGCACTTAACAACAACAACAACAACAATGGAACACATAAGGAGCTCTAGAAGTGTAGTGGTTACAAATTGGGCTGGTAACCTCAAGGTCAGCAGTTCAAAATTACCAGTCATTCCATAGGAGAAAGTTGAGATTTTTTGCTCCCATAAAGATTTACAGCCTCGGAAACCATATGCAGGGTCTCAATGAGACAGAACTGACTCCACAGCACAAAAGCCATCAACCACCATGCTATACATTTCTTTACTTTTCTTTAATTAGACAGATGAGTCCTGGTGTGGTGCTGTAGGATAGGCACTGGATCACAAGGTCGGTTTGAGCCACAAGGTTGTTAGTTCAAATTCACCAGCCATTCCTTGGAAACCCTGTACAGGGTTGCTGAGTCCAAACTGACTCGAAGGCACTTAAGAACAATGCATACACACACACGTTTGTTGGTTTTGGTATTTGTTTTTTTTTTTGTAAGCTTACAACTTGTAAAAACAAAATTGGAGTTTATGGAAAATCCCTCCTGTAAGAAAGGATTGGTTGGTAAACATAGAAGACAAGTGTTTCTGCAT